TTTAATGTACACACAGATCCCAAAATTATGTCGAAATCGGTGGTGTAGGTCATAGCCGGGATAAAGATAGTTCACAATAGGTGTTGCAGAACTGATTTTAGTTTCAGTGAGAACAAGGATGTCAGGTCTTTGTTCTTCAAGATGTTGGTGAACTGAATTCATATTTGTACTTATTCCTCTTATATTGCTAAAATCAATTCTGAGTTGAGTTTTTGATCTTCTCTTTATATCTTTGCATGAAGGACCCTCAGGATCACCCGACGCCCGGAGATCCGAGTGGTCGGGTATTTTACCTCCGGAATATTTTGATCCTGGAGGCGCCATCATGCTATCTGTTACTCATTGTTGTTAGGAAAATAACTATATCGTCCATCTCTTTTAATTGAAAACGTCAATTGTCATTCATTAATTTTTTTTTTTTTTTATTTAATTTTCTGGAAACTTAAATGTTCCATATTTTTATGTCAAGTTAATTTTATGCCAGCGACTGTTAGGTGGAAGGGTTAAACCTCTTCCCCTATCCATTGATTTATTATTCACTGCTTAACTGATTTTTTTATTCTCCGAACTGATCCCTGGTTCGCGCACTTTGTCGGCGGATTGATCAATCTCATCCTCTTCTTACAGATACTTCGGCTTTTTACAAATTTTCTTTAAATTTCTTTTTTAAATTTCTGAATTTTTCCTTCTGTTCCCGGCTCTTGAATTGTTGCTTCTCAATATCTCTACATAAAGAAAATTCAAGAGCCTGGAATAGAAACAACATACTTAAGTCTACTTATCTTCTAGATTTTCCCTAAATTTCTGCTTTTAAATTTTCAAAGTTTTTTGTCTGAATTTTTGTTTATTGCTCTTGATTTTTTTAGTTCTAAATATCTCTACATAAAGAAAATTCATTCTACTTATCTACTTCATTTTCCTTTAATGTCTGCCTTTTAATTCTCAAATGTTTGTCTATTCGCGGCTCTTCAAGAGCCTCTTAATGGTTTATTCACTTTCTAATATCCTGTCAGGTAATGCAATCTGAGGGATAAAAACGCGTAATCCCATTGGTCAACCGCAATTATCCACTATCCAGTGACCAAGAGGATTATAGATCAGTAAATTTATCTTGCAGATAGCTATCAGCAAGTTTATCTCAAGATGAATAAACTGGGCCTAAGAAAGAGAACATTGAATGTTAGCGAATACAATTTTAATACAAAAACAGATCTGCGAAAAAGTCGTCTGATCCAAATCCATTCAAACATTTAAAATGCCTGGGTATGTTTTCCAGCAGGTCTTTTTTCTTTTCCCAACAAACATCCCAAGCAGCAGAGGTTAGTCGTTATGACGTTGATTTTAAATAGATTTACGTCGAGACGACCAAAATTCGACGTTGGAAAGAGGTTGCAAAATATGACTTGTTTGGGACGTCGCACGTAGTGGAGGTTTATTTGACCATGATATGTAACCAACAGGTTCAAAAGTTACCATGTAAAAAAACCCAATAAGACCCATTCAGAAACAATACCTTGTATTAAGACATCTATGAAGCGTCCATGTGACGTCGTTGAATTGGACGTATTTGGTCAGTGTGGATCGATTGAAAAGTTATATATCCACATAGTGATAACAGTAAATATATTATCTGATGCATAATAAGTATACAGTGGGTATCTACATAAAAAAATGATACCTAATAGGGAATTTTCATATTTCTCAAATTATTTTTTTTTAGATACTTCTAGTGATCAGTTATTACATAGTTTTATTTTTTTCCATTTCAATTTATACGTTGTACGAAAAAAAAATTATTGAAATTCAAATCAAATACTTTGGCGCGAAAACACGAAATCCCAATTTGACAGCGCTTGTGACGTTGAGATTTTGTAAACATCAAATACGCAGCAAACGAACTCCTGCTGACGCAGTGTTATTTTTGTGTTATTCAAGTGTGTTAAAGTTTGCTTTTTATGAAAATTGCCGCAATGGATGGAGAATATTGTGAAGGACTGCTTTTGTATTTTTTTACCGTGCAAGTTCCCTATCACAGATTTCCCTATTGACGGGTTTTTTTACAGAATCGTGACGTCAAAACAGGTATCCATCATTAGAAGCATTGTTTTGGCGGGAAAATTTTTATTTCAAATTTAATATTATTTTTTCTACGAGCGTGCGGGAAATGGCTCTTCCCGCACGATTTGCTGTGCGGGAAGACTTTCTTCCCGCACCGGTGCGGGAAGAGTTTGAAATAATCATTGTGACATGGAATTGTTTGTATTGTTGATACCTCAGATTAACACATTTATATAGTGTTACTCTGAGGTTGATACACCCTATACCTGTACCTTTACCTTTTTATAAATACCTTTTTCCTACAGCCGTGCGGAAAAATCGATTTTCCGCACTGATATGCGTGCGGAAAATGAGTTTTCCCGCACGGTGCGGTAAAACTTTTACCGCACGCATATCAGTGCGGAAAAAGTTTTTCCGCACGGCTGTCAGTGCGGCAAAAATTTTACCGCACTGATCTGTCAAAAAAAAAAAGAAAAATTTTACATTTTTACGCCTGTAGGAAAAATATTGTACCTAACACTTGCGAAAAATATTTTTCCGCACTCGGCTGCTTCACCGAACTCCGCTACGCGTCGTTCGGTGAACGTCAGCCGCGTGCGGAAAAATTCATTTTCCGCACTTGTTAGGTAAATAGCTATTAATACATTTTTAATTCTACCTTCTGCATAATCGCATTTTATTTAAAGTAAACTCTTCGTAACATCAGCTTTAGTATGCTCGTAGAAAAAATATAGTTCCTAACTCTTGCGGGAAGAAATTTCCAGCACTCGGGCGCTTCGCACCCTTGTGTCGGAAATTTCTCTTCCCGCACTCGTTAGGAAAATAGCTATTTCTTTATTGATAACCTATTTTACTTATTTAAAGTACTCCTCAGCGTGTTTAAATCCAACATTCAAAAACGCGCGTGTTTTAAAGTTACCCATGACAACATCAACAACCCAATTAAGGCCTAGTTCTCATAACTGCGAAATTCGTTCTTTTTTGACATTGCTCCGACAATTTGACGTTTGAATCACGCATTTAACATCAAATTGTCGAAGCACTGTCAAAAAAGAGCAAATTTCGCTGTTATGAGTACTAGGCTTAAGAAAGGTAAAGTCTAAATGTCAACTTTTTAATTAGGCAATCTCAATCACGTGATTTTCTAATGGCCGTTCGGGTCAAATATTGCGGTGACAAGCCGGTGACGTTTGACGTTCATAAGGAGAGCATTTGTGTTCTGGCCCTTGCTGCTTTCGAAGTGGATTTTATATGTGTTTCTACGTATTTTTCATTGGTTTTGGTCATTCTTGTTTTCATAGTAAATTGTGAATTTTATAGTCTTTAGTATTTCTACGTATTTTTTAGTGTTCTGGCCCTTGTTGTTTTCAAAGTGAATTTTATAGTGTTTCTACTGTTTCTACGTATTTTTTAATTTATTAATAAATTCTCAGATGGAGAGTGAATATCTTTAGGTGTTATTATTCAGGGAAAATCGAGCTTTTAGTTGCAGCAATCCATAAAGCCCTGCGTTGTTTTGATAATTCATATTTGTAGATCAAAAGCCAATGATTTAAAATAGCAGGAACTTAATAATATTTCACATTGTCCCTGTTACCTCGACTTTCACACCCAATTATGATGCAAATCGCTAGCATTTTAATTAACACAATACCTAAACACACAAAAAAACACAAAATCCGATAATTCAAATCTGGACGTTTGTCCAGAATGTGACAGAATCAATGACATACAGAATAAACAACACAGTGCTTGACCCAATGCTTGACCCGAACTTCCATATTGAATTTCGTTTTTGACAAGTCAGTAGATTGCCTAATTATCGATTTGTCAAGAGTAGGTACTTATGTAGATAACGTCAAATAAAATCTAACAAGCACGCATTTAGCATTCTACAATTATTAGTAATTTATGATTTGAACGTATACCAATAAAAAAAAATAGTGTAAAGTATTCGTGGATAACTGTCTTTAAAACACTTGCTCTATTTCGAGCACTCCGGCTGCGCCGTCGGACGAGTGAAATTTGCAGAGAAAACACGCATGAGTGAAAAATTATCTGGTTCATTTTAAAGCTCAAGTGGTATTTAGAGGATTATTTCACGTATGAGAATGCAAAAAATATGGGAAAAATATGTAATAAACGATTTGAACATCTTAACAATCAATACAAATAAATGGTTGCTAGTTGCTATCGGGAACCGTTTGTTTGTATCAAAAATTAGCATGCCAACCATGTATACAATAACATGGGAGAATTATCGCTGTAATTCTCTCTAGTTAAACAAATGGAAAAGAGAATTTTCGCTGTAATTCTGAAAATCGTCACTTGTCTTATGGGATTTCTAACACATGAGTGGAATAATCGAAATAATCTTAAATTGGTGTTTTGTGCATTTCAGCCAGTTAAAATAGAAGGATTTATTTACAGTAACAGTTAACTATTGTGGAGGAAGAATCTATTAAAAAAATAATAATTTAGGTAGGTACCTAAGGTATGATCCTAACTGCCCTTCAAATCAGAATTTTGGTAAGCTAATTCTAGTTGAGCATATTTGGTATTAGATTTTGAGCATTTGGCTGTAGATGTTTTCAATAAACTTCCTCTTAGCAGTTGAAGTTGCGTTTCACTGATATCCAGGGTAACAAAATTATTTCTTTTTGGTAATTGGTGTCCCCTGGGGAAGCCGTCCACCATAATAGGTTAGGACCTCATTTGTTATACGATTATACTATTAAAGGTAAGTGTAGCAGTGGGGCACTACCGAATACCGGCGAGAAATGGTTGAATTATGATTTGCTGTTGGGTGTCAGCTGCAGAACGTGGTTTCAAGTGAATTCAGCCTAATGGGGATTTAATAGAATAGCTGAATGCTCTTCAACTTTGCCAGGCAAAATCTTACATATTTGTCTGGCAACCGAGCATAGGCCTGACACTACATTGTTACTATTTATCGATATTATTCTCCATTTACTTAGAGATGTTAGCTCACTGATAGTAGTAGTAATAATTTCAAAATTAATTTTAATTTAACTAAATTTAATGAGAATATAGTTAGTATTGTTAAATTGGTTCTTGGATTTTAAGCTTTAGTTGTACAGGGGAGAGCCCTGCTAATTGGTAAATATTAAGGTATAAGACAAAATGATAATGTATCTTGGCCTGGATATTTTTTCATTCTCATTCCAATAGTTTATTGAAGTACTGGAAACATGGAGCGAGGTAAACTATACCTACTAAACTTCCAGGTATATTAGGAATTTCTGATTTTCTTGTGTTACTTTCAATTAAAATACTTCTTGAGTTTACTTATTCAATCCTTTTGAAATATTATTCTCCCTCTAGCTCTCTACAATAAACCCAAAAATTACTAAATAATTTGTAGGTTTTGAGACCTCATAAGTACTAAATTCTTACACCTAAAATAAAAGCTCCATGAAAACGTCAATCGATTTTATTATAAACCCCAACCAACAAATTATTTTTATTCGTACAAGTCACAGGCTGTAATTTACCTAAATGCACTTCATACCCGTAAGGTTGAGCGTAAAGTTGCCTATCGGTATCGATAACGTCCATACAAAAATAGCCCTGTTTAGTTTTCAGGTTTTCTGGATCGTGAGTTTGATCTGCAGCATGCGCCAAATTGAAATATTGCTCTTCGGCTTTGTCAAACACATTTTTGAAATTTTCGCTTCGCGGATACGAAACTTCGTGGCACTGTTTTATGCCACCATAACAGCAAGGACAACAAACAAAATCTGCTTTATTTTTAATGCACATTTGAAGAACTAAATCGGTGGCTACGCCACAAGCGTGTAAAGCTAAGCCCAAGTCAAATGTACCCACAAAATAATCCAAATTTGATTGCACTATTATGATATTATTTAGGTTTAATTTTGTAATAGTTTCTCTAGCCCTTGCTAGAGATCTTTCTTTATTTTCAACTAAAATAATTTCACATTTCGGTAATACTAAAGCAATTAGTATGCCTAAATGTCCACTGCCACTACAAAAATCGACTATTTTATATGTTTTATTGCCAACCACAGCTATTGTGGCTTTGATTAAATTTTCTAATTGTTCGCATTTTCTATTGGCACGTTTAGCGGGCAAAGCCCCACCTTGTGGATTAGCTTCAAGAGGAATACAATTCCAATTAAACTCAATATCATACCGGAAAGGCAAATTATTGTTTTTTATATTAGAGGTTTTTAATAAATCTAAAGCAGATTCAATTTTGTATTGTTTTGTGTGCTTGGTTGAAACTATTCTCGTTGGATCAGCATTATATAAACTAACATTATTTATTTCAGGTACAATAATTATATTTTCCAATTTTGGCAATGGAATTGGTAAACTAAATGAGATTATTTTTGAGTTTTGTCTATTGAACCACTCCATTGTGAGAGGTATTTTAGACTCAATTGAAATATTCTGGCAATATTTAAAAATTATTTCAAAGCAAGCAAACAAAATCACATCAGATAAAGTAATATAAGGGCCTTCGGCATAATCATGAAGCACCCTCAACTCTTTTCTTGCGGTTGAGCTTTTAATACTTTGATCATTTTGAGTGTCCCTGGCTATTTTGAAAATGTTATGTATCCTTACTGGTTGAGACAAATGATTTTCATATTTTAAAACATCATGAGGCAAAGTGAATGAGTTATTTGATACAAAATCATTACTTATAAGCTTCTCTATTGTGTTGGGAATGTCAATTTCGCAAAACTTGGTCCAAATTGAGCTTTCAGCACATGCTACCAAACAAGCCTCACGAAAACCCAATAATTGTTGAACGTTTGAATTTTTGCTGAGTTTACATATTTGTCTGGCTACAGAACATAGGCCTGATACTACATAGTTGTTATTTATTAATATTATGGGCCATTTACTTAGAGATGTTAGCTCACTGTTAGTAGTAGTAATAATTTCAAAATTAATTTCAGCTAAACTTAATGAAATATAGTTAGTCTTGTTAATTGGTTCTTTTTTCAGGATTTTCAGTTTTAGTTGTAAAGGGCAAGGCCCTGCTAATTGGTAAATATTAATTATTATAAAAGTTTTTATGTCTACAAAATATTGTTCTTGTTTGCAGTAGGCACTGATAAATAATGAGTTATTCATTCTTTCTAAGTTGCTCCTTCCTGTGTGGTTTGCGGGGTCTATTTGCCCAATGAAGCCCTAAAATAGTGCCAAAAAATATAATGCGATGGTTTTTGGTCTAAAATATGAATTTTTGATTGAAGAAAATTACATACCGGCTATTTTAGAGGCGAGTTGTTTGTGGTTTTAATTAGGGACTGATAGGTTTCTCTGGTTTTTGAAATTTAAAATTCAGTAAACACTGTAAACAGATCAAAACAAAAAAGTAGGGTTATGTTGTCATGTCACTTGGTCTGGAGAGGGTTTACAGTGTTGCCAGGTTTTTAGTACATGTTTAGAATTTTTTTTGTTATTTGGCAATCTACTGACCTGTCAAAAACGAAATTCAAGATGGAAGTTCGGGTCAAGCACTGTGTTGTTTATTCTGTATGTCATTGATTCTGTCACATTCTGGACAAACGTCCAGATTTGAATTATCGGATTTTGTTTTTTTTTTGTGTGTTTAGGTATTGTGTTAATTCAAATGCCAGTGATTTGCATCGTAATTGGGTGTGGTAGTCGAGGTAACAGGGATAATGTGAAATTTTATTAAGTTCCTGCTATTTTAAATCATTGGCTTTTGATCTAGGTACAAATATGAATTATCAAAACAACGAGGGGCTTTATGGATTGCTGCAACTAAAAGCTCGATTTTCCCTTAATAATAATACCTTAAGATATTCACTCTCCATCTCAGAATTTATTAATAAATTAAAAAATACGTAGAAACAGTAGAAACACTATAAAATTCACTTTGAAAACAAGGGCCAGAACACTGAAAAATACGTAGGAATACTAAAGACTATAAAATTCACAATTCACTATGAAAACAACAATGACCAAAACCAATGAAAAATACGTAGAAACACATAAAATTCACTTCGAAAGCAGCAAGGGCCAGAACAGAAATGCTCTCCTTATGAATGTCAAACGTCACCGGCTTGTCACCGCAATATTTGACCCGAACGGCCATTAGAAAATCACGTGATTGAGATTGCCTAATAATTGGCCTTTTGATTGTTTTAACTCATTTGAAATAAAATGGTATTGACACAGCCTCCTATAGTTAACAAGCCATGAAATTGGAAATGACGGCAACGTCGCGTATGGTGCTATTTTGTTATTGGGTTATGTGTTTCTGTGTATTGCTTTCATTGTGTATTGTTGCAATTTAGTATTTTTATGGGCATTATTGACGAAAAAGTGGATAGAAACACACCAATATATTGCCCATATTTAGTTGATACCTGTTCCTTTGTGCTTTGATTGCAAATTTTTAGCAAATGGGTACAGGAGCAAAAATGAAGGTAAGGTAAGGTAAGGTAAAACAATAAAAACAATATTAATATTTGTCTGCAAGAGCATAGGTCTCGATATATTACCTAAGATATTTAAACTTGTTCCAGATGCCATGAAACTACTGTGTTCCTGGGTGCAAATCGAACTATTAGGAGTTCCTTAAAAACTGAAGAAATGCAAACATTTTTATTTCCAAAAAAATTCTGAAGTGCAAAAAATGTGGATGAAAGCAATACACCAAGATAATTATACCCGAGATTATACAATAACGAAAAATTCTGTGGTGTGTTGTAAACATTTTGAAGAAACCGAAATAATTAGATTTGAAACAAACAAGGATAAAGGCGTAGTTCGAGAGTTCAAACTAAAACGTCCAACTCTTAAAAGTAGGTACCTCTTATTTTCGAAAATCAGCTCAAGTATTTGAATGGACTTGCCTTCCGAAAAAATCCCGAAGAAAGAAAAAGTTAGATTTTCAAAAGACATACTGATACATAGGCCTATAACACTTTAGACTCTAGAAATATATTCATTTAAATCAATTATTTACTGTTCTTATTTACACAAATAGTTAAATTATTCATTGAATTACTGTTTTTGGCCCTTTAGTACAATAAATTATGCATTTTTTGTGATTCATATTAATAAAATAAAAAATATATATTTATACAAACAAACACCACCAGCACCACTTGGCGGTAAGACTGCGGTGTTGCCTTTTTAACTTCATGGCTTGTTAAATGTAGGGGGCTGTGGTATTGAGTATCAACACAAGCCTTGCGTTCGGTATTTTGCTCAAAGTGTAGAGCGAGCTGAGCGGAGCCGTAATCACGTGACCAGCGAGCGAACGGAGCAGTTGAACGCTGTATAAGAGTACTGGAAATTTTAATAAACGAACGCGAATGAGGCTGCACCGAGTACACTTTTTAAATAAACGAACGGTAAAGTCAAGCTCGGAGAACTCAGACCAAAATAACGAACGCACGGAAGGGCGGGTATTATAAAACTGCTTTGACAGTTAACTTTTTGAATTACACATGTAATTCCAGAAGTTAACTTTAAGTTAACTCTCAAAGTAGTTTTATAATACCCGCCCTTATTTGTATTTAATTAAACCAAGGATTTTATTTAATTATAAAAATAACCTTCTTACAGGATTCTGTAAAAGTATAGAGATTAAAAAGGAGAATTCCCAACTGATTCAACCTAACCCTATTTTTTTAGTTTTTTTTTTTATTATTGTTTATGTTAATCTATGATGTTAATTTTTAATTATTTCAAATTTCCTCAAAGAATCTAAGTTGAAATTCAATAATAATTCAATCGAATAATGTTATTTTCAATATACTTACAATTACTGTAAAATAATGGCTATTTACCTCTCTTGTAGAAGTTTGTGTTTATGCCCCTTGAGACTGGTACCCCTAAAAATAATCCAGCCCTATTTGTGTTCCTTTCTACATGAGTCAGCAGAAGATAACACTGGAGTCTTGGATGACTTCACTTCACAATTGATGAGCAAAAAGGCAAGCAAATGGGAAAGAAAAATTGAATTGATTCAAAAGAAAGTTAAGCCAAATTTCCTAAAAACCAATAATATTAAAAACTTGGATATTGATAATGTAAATGAACTATTTCAAACAGCTATTGACCATGATGATTACTCGACTATAAGAAATTTGACCAAGCATTGTATTGAAAACGATAAAATCCCTTCGTACAATATATTATTAAATATTTTGTCATTGCACTCTAGAATGGGTGACAAAAATTCAATAATCCAAGTGTCGACCCTATGTGAAAAAATAAGGCCAGAAATTTTACAAGAAAATTCAAATTTTCAACATTACGTAGCTGAAGCTGTTTGGATAAAAGGTGATATTACAAAATCTCTCAAAATATTTGAAACAGTTTATAAAGAAAATGAGTTCCTAAGACAAATAATTAGGTAAGTACCTTATTCACAATATTATACAGGGTGTATATTTTAAGTGATACCACTATTGCTATATCCGAAACGGTAAGAGCTACAGGGTCGGTTAAATTAGAAAAAAGTTGCCTTGTTTGATGCCCATTTAAGACTCGTTTACAGTGTTGCCAAATTCCTTTTAGTTTATGAAATACAGGGTGATTTCTAAGAAACGTCCAAAAATATTTCATCATTTATTTCGAAAACTATTGATTTTCGAGAACCAATTTTAATTTGAAAGTTTTATAATTTTTTCCGCTCTACAATATGACATCTTCAAATTTTAAATCCGACGTTTCGTGATCGAGATACCATCATCAACTTAATTTTTTTAAATACGGACCTGGATTATTTATGTCATTGTAAGGAAGCGCCCTTAATTCTCTTTCCAAAAATGACATAAAAAATCCAGGTCCGTATTTAAAAAAATGAAGTTGATGATAGTGTCTCGATCACGAAACGTCGAATTTAAAATTTGAAGATGCCATGTTGTAGAGCGAAAAAAATTATAAAACTTTCAAATTTAAATTGTGTCTCGAATATCAATAGTTTTAAAAATAATTAACGAAATAATTTTTGGCCTTTTTTATAAATCGCTCTGTATTTCATAAACTAAAAGGACTTTGGCAACACTGTAAACAAGTCTTGAATAAGCATCAAAAAAGGCAACTTTTTTCTAATTTAACCGACCTTGTAGCTCTTACCGTTTCGGATATAGCCATAGTGGCATCACTTAAAATATACACCCTGTATAGTAATAATTAAAGCATTTTTTTGATAGGTCTAAATTAAGATATCTTATTCTAAACAGCGTGGAGAATCATAGTGAAGCTACGTTAGTCAATTTAATACAATTTTCAGAAAAACTAGTGCAAGAATATAATGATTATTTTACTCTTGGTTGCCTTTGGCAAGCATGTATTCTTAGTGAATGGTTTACAGGTAATAAAAATCCAATATAGCATTGAAAAAAAAAAAATTAAATTGCAATTTTAGACCAACAAATTGCTTTAGAGTTTCTAAACAAATACACTGAGCTCTGTAAGATAATTGCCAGAAAAATACCTTTAGTAGTGAGAATATCTTTAAAACACCATCGAACTGAAATTGTTTATAGATTAAATGAGGTTTTGTTAAAATATGAAATGGATTCGGAAGTTAGTCAAGTATTATTAGCTTTATTAGATTATTGGAGTAAGTTGTTTCTTTTTTTGAGTCATCTTTTGTATTTATTTAGAGTTGATTTCAGTTAAACAAGGCGACTTTAGACAATGCCAGGAAATAGTATTGTGGTCAATAGAAAATGACATTGAAATATCAACAGTGAGTCAAAATAGTCAGTTGCTGAAACTTTTAGTTGATAATGGTAAACATATTAAAATTGAATTGGATGCACCAAGAAGAACTCGTACAGATTACAAATTTTAAACTGAAACAGGTCAGACAATTGTATTTTATTTTTCTATAAAAAGTTTATAAATAACTACTTAATATTGAACAGAAGGAGGACCCTATGGCTATGGGTTTGCTATGGGTAATATGTTGTCAGATTGCTTCCTCAATTTCTTAGCAGACAATATGAGGAATAATCATAATTACAAAAGGAGCAAGAAGAAAATCGTCCAAAGAGGACCAACAGTAATAAAAAAACTATGCTTGTTTAAATTAACTTATTTTATTTATTTACATGTGTCCCTATTTTATTGCAATGTGATTTATCTTCTTCCACATTCTATGAAAATTCATTGAAGTCAAATTTGTTGTTGCTTGTTGAGTGAGCCTCCACATTGGCTTCAATGTACCTTACTTCCCTGATTCATTTTTCTGTCCTCTGTCATGCCATTTTACAAAGAATGTTTTTATAACATTGAAATTTATACCATTTTTCTGACAAGGTTTGCAGAAAAATCAAGGTCAAATTATCATCAGTCAATCTGTATTATCACGTATCAGTTTATAATTATCACATATGTATGGTTTCCACTCGGGTTTCCATTACATCTTCATCTATAGCTAGTTTAGTCAAACTTGCATCATTTGCCTTCTCTTTTCTGTGAAGTCTCATATACATGGCTCTAAAAAAAATTAATTAACAACTAATGTGTTGTTGAAGTGAAATAATTTACTTACAAAACAAAAATGCAGCTAATGCCATACAACAAAATACTGACAAAGAAAAAACAACTTGGAAAACTATTAAAAGTTTTTAAATAAATTACTTTATTGTAAATCGGTACAGAAATTGCAGGTCCTAGGACATCACAAATGCCCAATAATGATTGCGTTTTTCCTATATCGTTTTTGCTCACTATTTTTGTAGCTATTGATTTTTTAGCTGTCCTGTGTAGTCTGGTAACTATACTAACAGCTACACCTATTATAAGAGAAAATTTACATAAAATTGTGTTAAAAAAATTCTTGGAACTTACCTGCATAGAAAATCAGTGGACTTTGAGCCAGTCCAAAAAATATGTTTGTCACAATTTTGTCCATGGTGGTTATCAATAGGATGGTGGAATCCGAAAAATACATTATTTTTGTCAGAAATGGTAGGCCAAATATGTGTCCGCCTAGGACAACTAGGGAGTTTACCGTTAAAAAGTAGCTGTATTCTAGGGGTGTCCATTGGAATACGTTTTGAGTGTATAAATAAAGGACATTGGTTTCTCCTGAAAATATAAAACATTATAGCAATTATTTTAATAAATTAGAAAACCCAAAAATGAAAATTGTAGGAGGAAGATATTGAGGAAGAAATTATTGAGAGATTTTCAATTGAAAATGAATTGAAGAGGAGTATTTTGGAAAAAATAGATATGCAGGGTGTCTCTAGATAAACTGACAAATTTTGCAGGTAAATATCTCAAAAACGAGAAAAGATTACAAGATGTGATTCATTCTGGGACTATGACTGCCTTATTTTCCATTAAACACCCTGTATATTTTGTCATCTTCAACAAGCCTGATTTTTCTACTCACAAAAATGTATAATAGTTTTTAATTATCTAGTGGATCTTGGGCTCAGAAATGGAATTATGATTTTGTTCTCACTTAGATGCAGAAAAAAATCATGTAAAATTTCTATTAAATCACCTTTGGAAGCTTCTGAATTCAATCAGAGGGACTTCAAACTTTCAGGATTTATTGAGTTGGATATGGAAAAGAGGATAGATTTCTATTGATTTTGCAGTATTTTCTGTTTATGATGAACACATAAATATTTTACGCTGCCATAATAATTATTCGGTTTCCACCATTCTGCAACAAAATGCAGTAAATTTAATTTTTTTTACCTTGAACGATCACATAATTAGATATGGTTTGACTAAAGCCTTCAGACCAATTATTTCTAGCTTTCCAAGATGTACAAAACAAATTCAGGCCAATTTTAGCATATAAATTATAACTTACCTTCAAAAGCAGACCTATGCAAAAAAGCCATCGAAACAAATAACCATATCAACAACCTGTCATTATCAGCATTTTGCTTCAAAACCAAATTAAACGTATCTCTAGCATGCTTAAGATCGAAAATGTCCGCCAAAACGCACCAAGTGAACACCTCGTCAAATTCTTTTTGCTTTTCTTTGATCCAAAATACTCCATACACTAAAGCCAAAAAATGCAAAAACGCTGTTGCGCCTAAAACACTTTGATATCCAGCCTTAACGAAAAATATACCGCTAAAGGATTGCACTGTAGGCAAAACAATACTAATGACAGTGTGCACAATTCCCAAGCGTAATGTCCGCATTTTTAAGGAACTTATATCGGCTATATAAGCTGTAGTAGCCATCACAAGCATTGTTTGGCCTCCTAAAAGAGACGGTATGACTTTTTGGGAAATTCCTTGAGCTTCTAATGGTAATCCTATCATGAATATTGAACACAAAATGCAACCAATTACTCCCAATAACTCTCCAATGATTGGCATTAAAAGAAACGGTTTCCTCCATTTGTGTCTGTCACTAAACGATCCGAGAAATAATACCAAAATCAAGGGTGTAAAGCTTTGCACTGGTTGCTGCCAAGAATGCATATTGCTTATAACGGTTTGCACTTTTTTATTTTCTAATGAGTATACAGTGTGGTTGCCGCTCAAAATTGCCTCGCAAATTGTAGAGTTGTATTTTAAGTTGACCCTATATAAAATATTAGAATTATTGATATTTGTATGAACTAATGTTGTTTTTACCTGCAAGCTTTTTCGAATTCTAAATTGTCCAGAGCCGGTTTCGATAGAAAAATTGCCATCTGATAGAAAGCAATCAACGGTTCCACTGTGATGATTTCTTTTAAATATTTAACATAATCCTTGAAGGAGGTTTTTGCTTGCATATTTGATCCGAAAACACAATCACTATGAAAAATTTTAAATGATTGAATCACTGAAGCAAAATACCGAAAACCTTTCTGACTGTAGAGATTTGTAAAAATGAAGGTCAAGTATGGCCAGCGATTAGTTTGCTCATTTCACTATTATGTAGTAGAATTTTAAATACTTATTACACTTTCTTAATGATAAAATGAACGGAGCATTGGAGAGGATTGAATTTATTGCATCCGCATGTTAAGTTAAGGCAATTTAATTGCCGATTGTTTGTTTGATAATGCACATTATTTTTAATGCCAATTATTGTGTTTAATTTATGTGTTGTTCAGTTACTTGAATTTCCTTGCATTGCGGAATTCGAAATCGGATAAAAATTCTTAAATATTTGTGATTTAGCTTTACACTTTGATAGTTCATCCGCCACAAGAACAATTAATCTTCATTTGTAATTTTGTGTTCAATCGGATTAAATATTAGAATGAACTTGTTTGTTCTCATGATTTTTAATTGAGTCTCAAAATGTTTTACTTACCTCTGCAAACTGAATAAGCAACTTATAATACTTCTTTGACTGAGTTGCGAATCTTAATAAGGTATTGTATTATTTTCCTCAGTGTAAACGAGGTTAAACCTGACTGAGGACTAAATAAATTGGAAATATACTTACATCAAAATGGTCTAGGAAACAAATTTTACCTAGACTTATCAGTTATCAGACATTTTTTGCTGATTTTCTTTATAAAATATTTAAACTAAGCAAGCCTGCAAAAAAATGTGGATATGGTAAATTTGATAAGAATTGTTCAATAAATAATACCCACTTTATCTTTTGAAAAAATTGTTTTGTCTTAAAATTAAAAGACAGATATTTTTTTGTTTCCTAGATTATTTTGATGAATGTATATTAAATTAAAATTTTGAGATGATGATTAGGTTTGGTTTGACAAAACTAGCTATCAGTAGTAGGTACTTCGAAGTTCCAAAGATCAATTATTATAGAAAGAGGAGGTTAAACTATTGCAACATGGCATCATGAGATTTAAATTGATGTTTTACCAAGTTTTTATGTAAGATATTTCTTAGATGTCAACTCGGATGTCAATGATATGGAAGACGGCAAGGTATGTCCAAAATAGGGTCAAAATTGCATTTCACCGACGATTTTTCACTTCTTTACTTCAATCAAAATGTATCTTTGATAGTAGTCTTAAATTGTGCGTTTAACAAAAAATACCTAAATTGGAGTTAATCATACAGATATTTTGATAGTAGGTTTTTTAGTTCAAAATTACATTTAGGTAAAATAACAAAATGGTCTTAATTTGTTTCGAAAGCGTCTCCTTTTGAGTTTTTCTAAAAGCCAGGAGAATAATTTTAAAGCAAATCAACAGCTCCTCGAAAGTCAGAAAAATTTAAATTTATTCCACAGTGCTTCAGCAGCAAGGATAATTTATCCAAAGCAACTTTACCGCTCCCGCAGAAGCCAAGAGAATATTTAAATCCATTTCACAATACTCCAGAAGCCACAAGACCTAAACTAGCTAAGCCTTGAAAGAGATGTATCCATAAACTTTAAGAAATGGAAAACCAAATATTCGAAATATACATGGAGGCTTCAGGTATACCTTCAAATGCGGACATAACTGGTGAGAGAAAAGTGGCAATTTTACTTCATACGATTGGACCAGAAGTACACAATATATTAAATGAAACTTTGGTTATTACTGCTGCACAAAAAAAAAGACTGGAAGGAAGTAATAAAGGTGTTCGAGAATCATTTTTCCCCTACAACAAATGAAACTGTGAGTAGACATATATTTAACACCCGAAATCAGCTGTATGGTGGAAGTTTCGATACATCCCATACAAAATTGATAAAGCTAAGCTCAAATTGTAATTTTGGGAAATTATGTGACAGTCTGATTAGAGATATAGTTTGTGCCGTGGGATTGGAGATCGCAGAATACGAGATAGACTTTTAAGAGAGCCTAATCTCGTCTTTAAAAAAATGCAAAGACATGGCAAGCTACAGAGCTGGCTGAAGCCCAAAGCAAAAAACCGGGGGATGATGAAAAAGGTGTACACTTTGTAAAGAAAATGTCATGGTACAAAGATAAACAAAATGAAGGTGCAAGCAAAGAAAATAGCTCGAAAAAACGCAGATGTGGAAGAACACGTGGAAAATGCCCTGCATATGTCAAAATTTGCAATAGCTGCAAACGTTATAACCACTTTGAAGAGATGTGCTTAAACAAGAATAAAAATAAAAAGACAAAGACACTTAGTTCAACAGAAAGAAAGCTCGTCCGAAGAAGAAGACAGTGAAAATGATTTTTTTTGGACAAATTAAAATTGGAGATGTCGAACAGCGTGGCACTATAAATAAAAGCAGCTGGATACAAAAAGTAATAATAAATACTTATACAGTGAACTGCAAAATAGATACTGGAGCAAAAACAAACATTTTAACGAAAGAAACGGCTTTAAAAATTGAAGCAAAAATAGATAAATCCATTATAAAATTAATAAAATATGATGGAAGTTCTATCAACAGAATTTATGGAAAAATTAAAGTACCATGTAAAGTGAACAAAATAGAGGGAATGGAAACTTTTAAAATTGTAGAACTAAATTCGCCTTGCATTATCGGACTAGAATTTATAGAAAAATACAAGTTAATAAAAAGAGCAAAAATTAGTTCAATACAGGACAAAAACCAAGATAAAAACTTACAAAATGAAATTAAAAAATTGATCCATGATAATAAAGATTTGTTTGAAAGTGGTGGAGAAATAAAAAATGTTACTTACAAAATAAAAACTAAACCAAATGCACAGCCAGTAGTTGAAGCATCCAGAAAAATACCATTGGGAACACAAGATAAACTTAAGGAAGAACTAGACAAAATGGAGAAAATGGGAATCATTAAAAAAGTCAGTCAAACTACAGAATGGGTGAATTCAATGGTAGTGGTAAAAAAAAACTGATAATTCTTTAAGAATATGTTTAGATCCCCAAAATTTGAATAGAAATATTATTCGTGAACGATATGATTTACCAACGTTTGAACAAGTGGTATCAAAGATAGGAAGATCTTAAATATTTACAACCCTTGATGCGAATGAAGGATTCTGATTCTACCAAATTAAGCTGGATAACCATAGTCAACTTTTAACAACATTTTAATGCGGGTAAATTTTACATATATTGTTATAAGAGAATGCCATTTTGCTTTTTCTCAGCACCTGAAGTGTTCCAACAAACTTTTGTTGAGATCTTTGGAGACTTATGTGGCGTACAAGTTTATATAGATGACATTTTAATCTATAGTGAGAGTGAAGAAGATCACTTATGGCCGTTTTCACCAACTATTTTAGGGCCTAGGGGAGCCTTAACGATAAGTATTCCTTAAAATGACAGTCTTCCGTGGAGAAATGTCAGTTTAAGGAATACTTATCGTTTAGGCTCCCCTAAAATAGTTGGTGGAAACGGCCATTAAAGAAATTGATTGAAGTACTTGAGAGAGCAAGAAGTGCTAATGTGAAGTTTAACAAAAGCAAATGCAAGTTTGGAGTAAGAGAGATGAAATATTTGGGACATGTTTTGAGTGCGGAAGGACTGAAACCCGATAATGACAAAGTGCAAGCTATTCTGGATCTTGAGGTATCAAAAAATCGAAAAGAACTACAGACCATTTTAGGTATGATAACTTAGATTTCAAAATTTTTGCCTAATGGTTCTCAAATCACTGATTTAATGAGACAACTTTTAAAGAAAAACGTTGAATTTTCATGGATTGAAAATCATACTAGTGATTTTTCAAAACTAAAAGAAATGTTACAAAAAGCTCCTATCTTGAAATATTTTGACATAGAAAAACCTGTAGTTTTATCAGTAGATAGTAGTAGTGTAGGATTAGCTGCTGTTATTCTACAAGATAAACTACCAGTAGCATATGCCTCAAAAAGTCTTACAGCTAATGAAAAAATGTGGGCTCAAATTGAAAAGGAACTATTGGCGATATGCCATGGTTGTGAGCGCTTTCACCAATATATATTTGGTAAAACAGTAATTGTTGAAAGTGATCACAAGCCACTGGAACAAATTTTTAAAAAACCTTTAACTGAGACACCATTAAGACTTCAAAGATTGCGTTTGCGTCTACAGCAATATGATATTATTATTAAATACAAACCTGGTAAGGAACTTTTTCTGCAGATGCTCTTTCAAGGTCTTTTGACAGAAATTCTATTGGTACGACAGATATTAAACAAAATGTTGAGTTACATATTAACCTGATTATGTCAAATTTACCCTTTTCTGACCAAAAATTAAAATTATTTCGGAAAGAAACTGCGGCTGATTCAGAATTAGTTGCCTTAAAAAATTATATTGAAAATGGTTGGCCTAATGCTAATCAAGTTCCAAATTAATTAAGATTTTATTTTTCAATTAAAGATAACCTACACATCTAATATTTAAAGATTTTCGTGTTTTAGTTCCAAAAAATCTGCGAAAAGAAATGTTAAATTTAATTCATTTAAGTCATTTGGGTTTGGAAAAATGTAAAAACCGAGCGAAACGTATATTATATTAGAAATTGCCATACATGTTTGAAATTCCAAAAAACTCATAGAAGGAAAAAAAATGTTGCTTCGAGAAGTTCCTAATTTACCATGGGAAAGCATTGGTATAGATATTTACTATTTCAAAAACAAACCTTTTCTTTTGATAGTAGATTATTTTCCAAAATTCATTGAAAGGAGGGAATTAGCTCGTGAAACAACGGAACATATGATAGTATAGGTTAAAAAATCATTTTGCAAGATTTGGAGTTCTTAAATATTTATATTCTGACGACTGTGAAACTCAATTTACACATCATTTTTCTAATCATAAATTTCTGCATTTTGAAAAAATTTGGAAATTTAAACATGTAACGTCTAGTCCACGGTATCCTAAATCAAACGGGATGGTAGAAAGGAATGTAAATGTACAAACTTTTAAAAATCTTTTGAAAATAGCAGAACATTCAGGTACTGATTTATACATGGCTTTGATTGAGTACTGAAATACTCCGATCGATTTAACCATCGATAAACCACCAAGTGAACTTATTTTCGGTAGAAATTTAAATGCCTTTTTACCTACCCCTGAAACCTTCAAGAGTCTAGACGGAGACTAGTAGGTAATGATCTTAAGTTAGTTAAATCTCAACTTCAAGATCGGCAAGAAAATTATAATATTATTATAATAGTAAACCTTTGAATTTTGAAAAAAATGAGATTGTGTATATTAAAGATAATGTTAATAATATGACGCAAAAGTTGTTGGTAAAGCAAATAGACCTAGAAGTTATAGGTTGAGACTTTCTAGTGGAAATGTTGTGGAGAGAAATCGTTTTAATATTTATAGAGCATCTGCTCATGAAAAGTAGGGAACTGATTTGCAACTAGATTTTGATGAGTTACATGAACAAAGTACATCAAAAACTAGAGAAAGTCTCAGGAAAATAGGTTATTATTATTATTATTATGTATTGATTGTCCTTTCTATGAAGGTGACTATGTTGTATGACATTCCATGTCAAGTACTTGTTTGGTCAAGTTTCGTGGTTTTAATAAACTTAGTAATTAATAAAAGTTATATTTAATTTGCGTATCATGTTTATTTAACATCTAAAACATGACAGAAACCTTTTCCTTCGGTGGCAGACTCCGTTTTATAGCGAGCCGTTGCTTTTAGAAATGTCTAGATAACTCTCGCCATAAAATTCCATTCGCGAATTTTCTAGCCATCAGGCAGTGTTGCAAGATGGTGCACAATTTCTCCAACTACACAATATTGTGAGAGACCCTATGATGAGGAGACATTATTATTATGGCACAGGGCTATATTATCCACTGATTGAATGAAAATTTGAGTAGGTAAATGAAAACATTGAACAAGTATAATGTAAAACAATAAAATACATATTCACATATGAGTAATTTGAATATCATCCATTTGAATAGGTTTTTCTTTAACTTCATCATTATTTTTAACCCCATTCGTTGCCACTGATTCCTTAGGCTTCCTTCTATCCCTCACATACATCAATCTAAAAACAAACTGGCTTAATTTTTGCAAACAATTACCTCAAAAGAACATACATAATAACCACAGCATAGGCCCCATAAATCAGCGCACTAAAGTAAAAATAAGCTGAAGGTAGTGTTTCATAAGTATGAGTGTACACTCCAACATTGTAAACTGGGGCAGCTACAGCTGGGCCGATAGCTTCAACAATTCCGAATAACGATTGAGCTTTGCCCAAATCGTTTTGAGACACAACTTTAGTAGCTAACGAACGAAGAGAAATAGCTGTTACGCCTGTAATTAAACTTACAGCAGCACCTAGAATAATAATAATTATTATTTTTATTTTTGTGCTACAATTCCTCAAACTCAATCAATCAAAGGGGTGAATGGGCTCTTTCACTAATTTTTGAAATTGGCATATTTGGATAAAGCAACTAAAAACAGAATTTTCTGTATTTTTACTTTTGAAAAATTCAAAGTCCTTCTTGAGAAAACAGAAAACAAAGAAATACCTCCAAATAAAAACCCAGAATTTATTTCTATGACGTCGCAGCTCGCAATTTGACCGTGTTGCCACTAATTGTCAACATTGAAAATTTGTAATAGATTTAGTTCTGAAATGTTGGCAAAATCTGATGAAAAGTAGTTAAATTAATTAGTTATAGATTCAAGATTTTATAACATTTTTTTTTTTAAATTATGCTTAAATACAATTTAATGCAATTTTTTACGCTGCACTACATTTAGTCACAACCGACAACAGCGCATTCGAACCTTTACGTATCTTTACAGAGCGCAAACACAGCCGAGCCCTTCCTCCTTGCAACGACATAAGCGAAATGAAGAATATTTATGTGACGTCGGCAAATCGGCGCGTTTTAAAATAGTTTGAAGTTTGAATTTAGGCACTTTTGATTGCCTATGAAAAACTTATTGAACCTTGTAGAACATTTTTTTTTTGGTATATATGCCTAAAATAGTCCCTCCTTTGAGATTTTATACTTAAATTACGTATTTAAATTTTAGTGAAAGAGCCCATTATTCCAAAAATAATGCAAAATTAGAGTCCAGCTCAAGTTACTTTTGGTTTTGATTAATTAAGTTTGATTAATTCTGAGCAAAATTCAGACGTCTTAGCCTTTTCCAGCTTTCATCTTACCTACATACATAAGCACACTGTCAGTGGCCAATCCCAAGAAAATATTGCAAACGATTTTATCCAAAAAAGTGAGCAACAAAATGGTAAGATCGTGCAATTTAAATATTTTCGTGAATAGTGGTACAGCGATGATTGTGCCTGAAATGAAACAAAAATGTATTTATAGGTATGTATTTGTTAACCTTCTAATTATTTAAATGGTATAAAAACTGATTAAGTCGGTTTTGTTGATGAACTTGATTGTTGCAATAAAATTTGCCTCCGAGCTGAAATTAGGAATTTTAATGTTGTTTTTTTATAAGCATAAATTTAGTTTTAAATTATTGTGCTTGAGTTTTGCTACATCAATGGCTAGAAATTTATATAAGAAAGTATTTTTTGCTCATCACTCATCCAACCATGTTAGTCCGGGGGCCGAGGACCTTTTTTTCAAATCATTAATAACAAGCTAGTTTTTTCAATGCAGTTTCATTTCACCGAGACGCCCAACTTTTTTCTCAACGAAAATTGCGAAAACAGGTAGCTAACATACTGCGCAGGTGTAAAACATGTCGATTTGGTGACTATAAAAATTAAATCAATAACAGTTAGTTGTTTAGCTTAATGTTGAGATAATTTTATAAATAATTTCAAACAACCTTTGTCCGACAAAATAAAGGGTTTGGTCTACGATGTCCCCCCCCTCAAACATGTAGCAATTACGTTGCATAAAAAATGATTAATAACAAGTTGATTTTTTCAATGTAGGTTGGTAAATATTATTACAATTAAATGGTCACACTGTCCTACAAATAAACAGGTAGCTATTTTCAGTCCTACACTCAAAAGTTGTCGATTTAACTTTTTTCATTAATAACCGGCTAAATCTTCGTGAGCATCTTCATTTTGATAAGACGCCCAAATTTTCTTTTGCCAAAATTCCAAAAACAGGTAGCTAACAGAGTGCGCAGGTGGAAAACATGTCTATTTGGTGATCATACAAATGTAAATAATAACAGTTACTTTTGTAGCGAAATGTTGAGATAGTTTCATAACTAATATAAAACAACATTTGTCCGACAAAATAAATGGTTTGATCTAGGCTGTCTCCCTTCTCAAACATGTAGCAGATACGTTACATAAAAAATGATTTATAACCAGTTGATTTTTTTAATGTAGCTTAGTAAATATTACTACAATTAAATGGTTACACTGTCCTACAAATAAAGAGGTACATTTCTCCAGTCCTACACTCAAAAGTTGTCGACTTCACGGTAATACTTCATTCATCAATCACCGGCTAAATCTTCTCGAGTCTCGAGCATCTTCGTATTGATAATACGCCTAACTTTTCTATTGCGAAAAGTTGCAAAAGTAGTAGCTACTAAAGTGAGCACTAGTGAGCAGATGTAAAATACCTTGATTAGGTGATTATGCAAATGTAATTATTAACAGTTAGCAGTTAATTTTTCAGGTGAATAATGAGATAATTTTATAAATAATTCGAAATTCGATTTGAGCCTCAAAATAAATGGTTTGGTCTGCAGTGTCCCCTTTCTCAAAAATGTAGCAATTACTGGCTCATAAAAAACGATTTATAAGCAGTTGATTTTTTTACTGTAGTTTGGTAAATATAACTACAATTATACGGGTGGTATGAATAAAAACTGAGTTTGAACTCGGAGTATATACTCGTGAGCATGAGTATGAAGTCTGAGCTTATACTCCATTTCGTAAGAATAAAAAAGATTTCGGTTTGATAAGTACATACTCTTAGTACATAGAGTAGATACTCAACATTTTATTTTGCTTGCCACCGCTCTTTCGCCTCTATATCCTATTCACAATTCGATGTCCACAGGTACAGGTAAATTTATCACCTTTCTCTATCAAATAGCATTGAAAGGTGATAAATTTTACCTGTACCTATGGACATCGGATTGTGAATGGATTATATCCGCAGGACTGCGGGGAAATTTGTTCCACCGTTCACTTTGCTGAATTATCTTATCAGCTACTTCCCATACAACTTTAGGCACCGAAGTTTGGTGAACACCAACATCCTCGCCTACTCCTGCCTGAAAGCCCGGGTCACCCACGTATCTTAAAAATATTTTAAATTTGTCTTTGTTGCATAAAGCACCACCTCTTCTTTCTAGGGATGTTGATATCGAAAAAAAATATCGATATATATCATATCGATAATTAAAATTAATATTGTATCGAGCGTTTGATATATCGTTGAAAAATATCGATATTTCGATATATCGACTAAATATAACTACAATTACACATTGTCCTAAAGAGGTAATGATTCGCCCTACATTCGAGAATTTCGAAAATAGCCTTATGCATATTATACGTAAATATATACAGGGCTTTCATTTCAAAACTTGCCACTCACGTTATCTCCGTAAAGAGACAGATTTCTAGAAATCGCCGAAACAAGTCAACAAATTTATTGAGGGGGTACCTACGTTAATTTGTTGACGTGTTCCGGCGATTTCCAGAAATCTGTCTCTTTAGGCAGATAACGTGGGTGGCAAATTTCGGAATGAAAGCCCCTGTATGTACATGTACGTACATAGATGCGTGTATAACAGTATATGTATTATGTGTATGTACACACACGAATTGACGCGCATGGTCGTAAATAACACAGTATCGTAGTATAGGGTGATTTAAAAAGCGCGCCAGATTTGAATTGCTCGAAAGAGAGTTTTGGCATGCCATCAAAGTAGAGGGGACCTTTGTCATTTTCCATACCTAAATTGAGAAGGTTTGATCCAACCGGTTCATCTTAACTCTAAAGATATTAAAAAAAATTGAGCTTCTTTTTTAATGTATTAAATCTGGCGCGCTTTTTTGAATCACCCTATATAGGTACAGGTTGTTTTCTAAGTTGGGGTTTCCTTTTTTTAAATAATGTGGAACTTAAAAAATACAGGAGTTTTCCAAATAATATTTTCTCGACAGCTCAAAAATAAAAGAGATATGTTCATTTCAAATAATATCAAAAATCAAATATTTTAATAAATATATTTTTTAAAATACAAAAGGTAAAATTCTTGAATTTAATCTTTTTTTCTAGAAATCTGTCTCTTTACGCAGATAACGTGGATGGCAAGTTTTGAAATGAAAGCCCTGTACAGGGTATTTGATTATATTTTGCACCATACCTACAGCCTTTTCTATTCAAGATAGAAAAAAAATTTAAATACAAAACTTGACAGTTTTTTTCTATATGTTCTGATAACGTTATGAGAAAAAACAAACTCGCATCGGAAAATGGAGAAACGTAAGCAACTTCGACTTTTTTTAATGGAACACCCTGTATATTATGCGATAAAATGAAAGATCTATTCTTTCTGATTCCAAATATATAATATTGATACCATATGCGTGAACAATTTTTGACATATCTCAGGTTAAATTATAATGAATTTGCAGAGAAGTTCCATAAGCATCTCTATCTTTATGAAATTTCTTTGCAATTCAGTTATAATTTAAGCTGAGATATGTCAAAAATGGCTCACGCAAATGTGATCAACATATATATATTTGTAATCAGGAAGAAAAGGTCTATAATTTTATCGCAAAATATACAGGGTGTTCTATTTAAAAAAGTCGAATTTGTCTACGTTTCTCCATTTTCCGATGCGATTTTGTTTTTTATGATAATATTATCAGAAAATATAGAAAAAAAACTGTCAAGTTTTGTATTTGAAATTTTTTTCTATCTTAAATAGTAAAGGCTGTAGGTATGGTGCAAAATATAATCAAATACCCTGTATGTACATATTTACGTATAATATGCATAAGGCTATTTTCGAAATTCTCGAATGTAGGGCTGAAAAATCTTACTTCTTTAAGACGGGTGGTATGAATAAAAATGAGCATTTAGTTTCTACTCCAAATTTTGGAGTAAATAGTCCACGTGGTATGAATAAAAACTACGAGCAGATATTTCGCTTGAGTAGGTACTCCTCAGTGGCGGCTCGTGGTGTCCAAGTAAGGGTGGGCGACAAAAATAAAAAACAGCCATGGGCAATTTTTTTTAGATTTTCAAGGTCGCGGCCTTTTCAAATATTGTATTAAAGCATAGATAATCCTACTCCGAAGTAGGATTATCTTTGATTAAAGGTATTTTTTATTTTTCCATTTTCTCTTCAGGGTGGCGCTGCCCACCTTGCCCATATGGGCGAACCGCCACTGGTACTCCTATGTATAATTTGGTATGAGTAGATTCTCACTTTTGGTATGAATAAAAAAATTGTTTGTGCTCTTCGGCAGGAGAATCTACTCCATAGTTTTAGAGTCTGCTATGCAGTAGACTCAACTTTCTGCTTCAAGTTATTTCTGCGTTCGGAAAAATTTTAGAAAGCCAGAAAAAATACGTGCGATCGGGACTTTAAAATGTTGTACCGGTTTAGTAAAGAAATTGTGGAGTGGTAATAAATCAATTTTTGGGTGAAGAGTCTGGAGAAAGAAGTAGGAATGTTGAAAAAATATCGATATATCAAATGGATGATATTTTTCTTCCGATATATCGATAATATCGACCGATATTTTTTGTTTCGATATATCGGTATATCGATATATTAAAAGTTGACTATCGGTACTCGATATATTTATCGAGCACAATCCAAAAAAAATTCACTGCTCTACGCTCTAAGAAGTTTTCAAGGCAATAATTCCGATAAAGAGGTTTCATGTTGAGCGATCCAGAGCAAGTAGAGCGGTATCATAGAAATATTTAAAATATTTAAAAAAAAACCTTTCCATAGTGGCCTAGTGACAGTTGTAGACAAGCAATGACTATTAGACATTCAGAACAAATGAAAATGAAAAATATTTGTTTTCCTAACAACTAATATTTTGTTCATTCATAACTTGCTTGTAAAAAAAACCCTGTTACGGTATAACTGGTACAGGTTCAGACATAAAATAATACTTTCACTTAGGGCCGGTTTCCCAATAGCAAGCCACCCCTTGGTTAAGCATAACTCCAGGATAAACATAGCAACTGAATACGCTTACCTTGGAGTTAAAACCAACCCGAAGGTGACTCACTATTGAGAAACCGACCCTTAATTGATCATTTAATTTTTTTGTCGATATATCGAAATATCGATATTTTTCAACGATATATCAAACGC